AGGAGTCACTGGAAACTCAAGACTCTTGTTTGTTTAAAACTATCTGCATGTGATAAACAGGAGCCAGGAAACCAAACCAGCCACACAAACATCAGCAGTGTTTTTATTGCAGTTTGTGCAAAACAGTGAGTGTGTAGCAAAGGCTGCATAGCTGGAAGGTAAGAAACAGGAAGAACAGACTGATGACAGAACAGTGGTGAAGGAACACTGGTACACAGCAAGTGATTCGGTCTGAGGCAGTGAATCTGTTTTCAGTCCACTTATCCTCCACCTGCAGGTTTTCTCATGAGGTTGATAACTGTGCACAGCTTGCTTTGTCCCAGAGTAAAGGCCAAGGGTGCTGAAAACGAGGTACTGGGCTCATCAGAATCAATCTGATGGGAGCATATGATCAGGATGTTTTGAAGGAAAGAACATGATAGTATGAAAGTGGGACGTTTGGCCTCATGGTGGCGCTGTGGTCAAGGTCAGAATAAAGCTGCTGAGGCATCAAGATGCAGAACTTTTAAGATATTAGACAGTCTGTATAAAGTGTTTATTGCTTGTAAAGTAAATAAGAATCGCTGGTTTTATGTCATTCATGTCTGTAGTACACTTTTATTTTGTTGGAAAAGTACAAATATTAAATGTAGATGTGTTCCAAGTCACAAGACAGCAGCTTAACACATTTCCCAGATATATTGTTAGGCTCTGATGCAGAGCTTGCATTAGGATCATGATTATATCAAAAAAAAATTGAAGAACATGAGGAAGAATGTCATTTGATTTCACAGAAAAACAAAGAAAAGATCTTTTCCCCCTGAAGCTTGTCCTGTAATTCGATATTTGATTTACGCTTTGCTGCTTAAAGTTCCAGTGTTTTCCAGAGAAAATCTTCCAAAGTTAACATATGGGACACAAAACCCAAGTTAAAACCAAGTGTGGAGCTTCTGTTGCCTCCTTCTGGCAGTAAGAGGAACCCCACAAACACTCCTGACACAGATTCACTGCTGATCACGTTCTGTTTAGGACTGTAATTCTTCCCCACATATTTTTCATGGATGCTTTCAAGTTTTTTCTTTCGCTACGGTTGCTCCCCTCCTCGGCTCTGGCAATCTGATTACTGCGAGGTAATGTAAGATACTACAGGAGTCACCACCAGCACAGAAGCCAGTTTTAAAACTCCGTGAAATACGGAGAGGCACTAACCTGGTGTCGATAGGCTTATTCAGCAACGTTTGTTTGGTAAGGGCTTGGGTGTAAAAGATTAATGTGTAAAAGTCCCACACCCTAACAGCTCTTTAAAGGCAGTAATCAGCTGTGAGGAAATCCTGGGAAGCATTTACAAAACGACATTAGTGAAGAGGTAAAAGAATAAATAAGAAAGTGTAAGGCAGATCAAACATCACCTTTTTCACACAGTTTTTCTGCACCTGCGTCCAAGAAAGAACTTTTAAAAAACACAACACTGTCCGAACCAAATATAATAATATTTAAAATAAAGGCGGGAATCAACCCAATAAATGCACTTAGATCGGAGTTAAATTAAGTCGTGAAAACTCTCCGTGTTGTTTCGTCTCGTCTCTGTTGGTTAAGGCTTTAGATGGAGAGTCTGAGCCGGTTCTAGTCCAGCGGGCTTTGGAAGATGAGTCTGACGCAGCCGGTCTCTCCGACCAGCGGCTGGATGCAGAACGGGCAGGCGGCGTGAAAGGCGTGCGTCCCGTGTGGCAGCGGGATCTGACTCCAGTACGCCGTCGTCTTCTCTGAGCACACGTGGCCGCAGGGGACGAAGGCGTGGGTCGGGGGCTCGGCGTCGACATAGAAGCCCGCCTCGCAGCCCAGCCACAGCGGGACATAGGGGCCCCTCGCCCGGCACATGGGGCACTCCCTGTCCTGACAGTCGGCTTCCACCTCCGGGTCACGCCGCCCTCCCCAGCCGTGGTAGCCGTGGACATGGCCGCAGCGCATGTAGGCCCAGGGCTGTTTCTCATCCAGGACGTCCTTGCGGCGCAAGCTGGGGAAAGCCAGCGTGTTGAAGCCCACGGGGCACTGCGGTCGACCGGCGTTCAGCTCCTGTCGCAGCGCCTCCAGGTGCTTGACGGTGGGGGTGAGCGCTAGTCCCTCAGCCGTCCGCCACAGCAGGGTGGCGCCACACAGGTCGATGAGAGAGCCGTCCACGAGCTCGTTGGACTCCGAGTCGACCTCAAGTGGGACACACAAAGGAACACAAGTCATCATCCACATCACATTACTCTGTTTACTGGGGTTTACTGTCCATGTTCTAAGATAGATTGCCATCAGCAGCAGATCTTGACATCAGAACTAGAATCCTTCTTAGTTCTAATCTAAATAGTGCCTATGTAGGGCTGCAAGTTGGCTCAGTGGTTAGCTAATGACCCAAATCTTGCATTAGAGGGCTAATGAATGCTAACATCCAGCCACAATCTGCTGCATCACAGAAAACTAGCTGTTGCGCATTTATCTAAATGCTCAGTGTGTGTTTATGCATCTGAATGGGAGTCACCCACCATCTTGCCCCTCTGCTGAGCTGATCTGGTTTCTCTCAGCGTGAACACGTTTCCGCAGACGGAGATTTCCCTCCACAGACCGGGTTTCGAGTCCTGGCTGAAGCCGTGGCGAGGGTGCATCACCAGAACGCCGTTTGTGGTCAGCGCGTCCATCTGACCGTCCTGCATCCTCCACTTGGCCGCCTTTTCCTGTGAAGAGGTCAAACGTCCACTTTTAGCATCCAGTAACGAATCACTGTGTCGTCCTCTTACAGCATCACCGGCGAGCGCTTCCTACCCCGAGGAAGATGTTTTTGGAAGAGTCGAAACCTGCGGCGTAGATCCGTGCAGAGTAAGGCGGGTTTCTTTGGCAGATGATGCGGCAGGCAAAGCGGGAGATCGTGCTCTGAATCGTCTGACCGTCGGCGTGGCTCTGACCACCAGGAACCGTGTCCGTCACCACGAAGTCGATGGGACTCTCTGTGGAACGACCGATCTGTAGTTGCACACAAACAATAGCTGGATAGAAGTCTTCTCAATCTTTTACTGATGGTGCTGAATGAAGATTTAATGTGACAAAAAAGAGGAAAGCTAACATGTTGAAACACTGACACTGAGAATAAAACCACTCACAAGGTTTTATCTCTACATGTGATGCAACACTATCTGTTCATGCAGTTGTGAAGGCTACACACCTGGAACATGTCTGTGTTGATGTCGTGAGTGTACTCCACCACCACCGTCTGTGCCCGAGAGAGCGTGTACGATATGCTGTGCTGCTCCTTGTTGCTGATGGCCTTTAGAAACAAAGGACAGACGCTCCGTTAATAATCAGGTATCAAGATCAAGACATTACTTCATATCTGTCCTGGTGGTGTTTTAGAAATTAAACATAGATAGGATGAAGCGTTTCCACGTGTTCCAAGTGGATCGTAGACGTTTCACACGACCATGTTTACAGTAAAACAGACCAGAGCCGGTCACTCGTGTGTCGAGCGCTCACCTTGGCGGCCTGTGGAGTGCAGGACGTGTGGACGGTGCTGGGCTTCACACCGTTGGCTTTGCTTCTGCGGCAAAGAGCGAAGCGACTTTTCCGCCTCCCCTTGTCGCCGTTTGGCAGAGACCCGTTACACCTAAACAGAGGATGAGAAACGCCCAGATAAAATCCCAAAAGCTCTACAACAGAATATTAGGAGATTTACAAAACTTAAAAAGTCAGCACAAGCTCAGAAAACATTTGCACTATTTATATAAAGCAGCATGACAATGTCTCAGTCAGTGAATGATGCTGCCTTGTTTCCAGTTTGGTGCAGTTATTGACCTGGCTGATCAAAAGATTTGATCTGATCTGATCACTAGTGTGGCTCTGATACAGAAGCCTCTGTCTGTAGTCATCACTATGGTCTCAGGAACTCGTCGAGGTCCTCAGACAGCTTGTTCTTGATCCTGTTTTAGTGGCAGAAAAGTTTCATGAAACTAGACAAGATCTAACCTCTCTGTCTCTCTCACGTGTCCTTCTTTTGTTACTGTTTTTCAACACTTTGGACTGGAGTTATGTTGCTCCCAAACAAAAAAAACACGTGTGTAAC